CTTTTTTTGTTTTATTTACGGTATTTTATTATTTTGATGTTTTGAGCTCTTTTGTGTTTAGAACAATATATACTAATTTTTAAAGTATCAAATTTAATTTTTGTTCAATAAAAATCTTTCAAATGCGACTGTAGCTTTTTTTCCCCAAAAAACTTTGTCTTCAAAATAAGGGTGCGTCTTATATTCCGAAAAATACGGTAAGTAAAGGAATATTCAAACGTGCGTCTTTTTCTGCTTTTTATTGTGTATCTAAAAATAAACCTGGTGGATGTTAGGACAGTTGTTCATCTATAGACGTGACAAAGATATCGTCTACAGCAGAGTAGAACAAATAAAATATGCAATTATTATGATGATCTAATGTCACACAAGTATTACTACTAACCACCATGCTCCACCAGCCTGAGGCGTTTCACATATAATTCATACACCATCCCTTAGTTTCTACTCGGTTTGTGACATAACTATATCTAGTATTCTTTACCAGTACATTCATGTATAGTTACGTACGCTAAACGAAAAAGTAAATAACTGGTTGTTTATCTGGAACGACGTTTACAAAGTAGTAATCTAGATTACTAAAAACATCTGAGGCTTAAAATAGAACGCTATGTGTATATTATTGTCACTCTTTCTCCATCGTGAAATATCTGGGTTAAAAATTATATTAGTCATGTATAAATCCCCCCCCCCAAAAAAAACATATCCAGTTTGATACAAAACTTCCAATGATATATATATATATATATAACTTGTCTTATGAAAATATAAGAGAAAACCACGCTAGATTCATTAAAATGTTTAGAAAATTTAAATTGTTCTCAGCGTTAAATTTTTTAGTTGTCGCATTCTTTATGTGATGTTTGAGAGTGTATTGATGCTTTGTAATGTTTTAGTCAGTTCTCCGCGTATTATAATTTATATAGCTGCAGAATGAACATAAGAAATGTTATAATGTTTCTTTTGTTTGGTGGGTTGCGAGTTTTTTGGATTACTTGGTTAACACAAAGTGAAGTCCAGTCCATGTAACGACAGTGAATTAATTTGTTTATTCTATAACGTTTAATATAAGCTACGTTCATGTTGTTTCTTTCCTGTACCTTTCTGCTCATAGCAGATTTCACACTTTTTTTACACCAGTTCTCCACAGACCCCTCGCACCCAACCCATTGAAAGCATTCTCTTACTTGTTCTAGTGTCTCTTCCTAACCCCGAAATATCCAGCTGTTGGAAAGTTGTCGAGATAATGGGGTGTTTCAGAATGTAAATACCGGGGAAGTAGCAACTGTAATTATTGTTTTTTTTCTGTCTACTGGTACCTTCCTATTTTGGACATAATAGTCTCCTGCAAACGCAATGACTGCTACTGTATCCAATGCATATTCGTTTTCGGGCTGTATGGAGCAACTGTTTGTTATGATGGTCTTTCTAAATTACTCTTGAGTCACTGGGTAACTGGTTTTAAACTCGTATTTTTTGCCCGAGCAGTTTTCAGTTGGGCGTTGGGTTACATCAGTTCTTCTTCATCAGTGGTAGATTCCACATCTTGGACTATTTTGCTTCATTAGGTTTGTGTACACTTTTTATTAATATAAAGTCCTTGGGTTGATACATCAGCATTTCCATTGTTCTCTCCAGGGTGATGTACGATGTTAAAGATGTACTCCTTCTGAATTACGAAACTTCACCAGCCACTTCAAAGTTGCATGATCGATCTGGAGCATAAACATTTGTCCATATAGACAATGATGGAAGTGACTCAGGGTTCCAACAACACTTAGTAACTTCTTTTGAGTAGTATAATATTTCCTTTCTGTGGCGTACATTGCCTTCCTATATTAGACAATCACATGTTACTTTCTATGTTACGCTTGTGATAAAACTGCTCCCACTGCAAAATCACTAGCATCTGAAAGGAGTGGATCCTCCAGAGTTGGGTATGCCAATACCAGAGTAGTGGTAAATTCCTTCTTCAGTTTTTTAAATGCTTATTCAAAATCAATAGTCTAACAAAACTTTTTTAGGTTTTTCAAGTAATTTGCATAGAAGACGAGCTATGTCAGTAAAATATTTTACAAAACAACAGTAATGAAAGATAGTCCAAGAAATCCCCATACTTCACGCACGCTCTTTGGTGTTGGCCAATTCTGGATGGAGTCAATATTCAATGGATCTGTAAACACTCCTTTTCTGCTGAGTGTGTGTCCCAGGATACTCTCCTGTTCTTGGAATAATTCATACTTCTTGGAATTCAGCGTAAGGTTCTGTTCCATAAACCATTCCAGAACTTTCCTTTGCCTTTCATAAGTATTATCAAAGGCCTTCCTATACACGATTATGTCATTCAAGTAGATGAGTAAGACGTTCCAGGGTAGTTCAGACAGAACATCTTCCAATAACGTTCTAATGTAATAGGAGCATAACCTAAATGGTTTCTCTATTGGCCGATTTTGAATTGGCCAGTTAAATTCTGGAACTGGATTTGTTAGTATCACGGCTGGAGTAGTACAGCAAGGTCATTCCACAACACAGCAGTTGTAGTGATAGATGTTGACCAAATAGGTTTCATTCCATAATATGTAGCAGATGGTGTTCCAGGCTAGAACTCCTGAGTTGATGAAGAAAGATGTGTGGCTGGTTTAATCTTTGCATTTAATAATTCATTTTCAGATGTTTTATTCTGTCATTGATGTTCTTTTGTATCTCAATAATGCTCATTTCTACCTCGCTGCTGTTTTTTGTACATCTGCAATTTTATCAAACAGCCTTTGATGTTCTTCTGCATTTATTCAAACTTGCTCTTGTAATCTCTCTCTGTATACATCTTGAATAGCTTCGTTTCTCAATAAAGCTCATTTCTACCTCACTGATGTTTTTTTGTACATCTGCAATTTTATCAAACAGCCTTTGGTGTTCTTCTGCATTTCTTCAAACTTGCTGTTGTAATCTCTCTCTGTATACATTTGAATAGCTTCGTAGATCTTCTCTACAATCATATTTATTTTTGTTTTTAATTTTTTTAAGTACTAGCTCTCTTTCTTTTAATTTTACGTTTAAATTTCACGTTCTTCTCATTTTCTATCCTGCTCTTCTTTTATTTCTTGTTTGTTTGTTATTAAGCACAAAGTTACACAATAAACTATCTTTTCTATGCCCACTACGGGTATCAAAACCCAGTTTTTAGCGTTATAAACCTTTTGATTTACCACTGGGCCACTGGGGGCTATTTATTTTTACTTCTTTCTTCAAATTTTTTGTTACATTCTTCATGATCTTGCCTTAGTAATTTCATCATCTCAAATAACGCTTCACTCTCACTCTTACATTTCGTAGTCGTCATATTCAACACTTAAAGTTCCCAAGTATATTCAAAGTTGTATTCTATTTTCACCTCAATAATACCTCACTTTTGACACCAAGTATTGTGACGTTCTTTTTTTGTTGGGGTGTTCTTTTAAATTATCCCGTGAAAATCATTCAAATCTATTCCACCTAAACTATAAAGAATTCGTTTATTACCTTTTTTCACGTTTTTGCAAGCTTGAACACTTGTACACTGTCGTAAGTTGTTGTACGCCTACATTAGAAATGACTTTAACTAATGTAAAACAAGTCAGTTTACTTGTGCTCGATAAGCGCGATAACAAACACATATCTAAATACTTCACGCAAACACACTAACTAATTCAGGTCTTATCTAGAAAAACTATACACACTTCATAACTATCTCGTATTTATAATCTAACTTCTGAATATATTAGAAACATTTTGACTTCACATCCTTAGATCTTTCTAGGTGTTCTAAACCTATCTTATAATATCTTTTGATCTGAACTATATCATTAAGACCTACAGCTCTCTCTAGTTAATATTGTAATTACAGCATTGAAAATATTGTAAATTTATTACAGAAGTTATACAGTTAGTATCGTATAAATATATTTCAAGAATTGCTTAAAATTTAGCTAACCTCAACCTTCAATAACACAGGCCTGCGATGGTTTTACTGTCTTGAAATTTCTACATGTTCTACAGTAATTCCTCTACGCTGAATCCGAAACTGATATTAATTTATCTCCATCACGTACAGATTTTTCCCAAAACGTCATAACGCAATACATAAAAGAAAGACCACAATATGTATTTTTCAGACTAAAAAACATAATTTCACACAAAACAATCAGGATGAATGAGGACGTATATTCGTTTGATATTAATGTTCTTCCCTCTTCTTCAGTTTGTTTGTATTTTAGTTAATAAACATAATAATAAAAAATGTCCATTGTGGTAAACGAAATAATAATTTGATCTAAGTAAGAGTTTTTTCTTCACGATTTGTAAAAGATCCTTACGTGATAGAAAAAAAATGAATTATTTTCGAAATCTGCGTAGCTGAATTATGGAAAATCCGTTATTAAAACCAAAACAACTTTTATGAAGTTTAAATTCGCAGGCCTATGTAATCTACACTAATATTGCATATTGAAAACAATAAATAAAACTACGAAACTATACACATTTAAATTAAATGATAAAATTTACTGGATGATTATGTGCCAAAGTGTGTACAGATACGGCTGAACGAAATAGTAAACAAAAACATTATAATTGGGGAATAACGTCAAAATATTTACTATATATTCAACTAGATAATTCTATTACAACACTAGTACAACCAGCAACCATCACTCTGGAATCAATTGACCTTCACGTATTAATAATCATAAGAGATATTCTTTTCGACACAAGTGTTGTTCTTTCGTAATCTGGGTGTCTCGTTAAAACTAAAAAATACTTTGTGTTAACTAAATTTCGAGTATTTCCTGTTAGTGCAAAGTTTACGAAATTATACTTTTTGTACTAACACTGATTTCGATCTTTATTATAATCGCTCACAAATATATGCTCGTTATAGAGTTATAATATTTCATAACTGTAGGAGTAAAAAAAAATATGTGTTACTAGTCAACTTATAAATTGTAGAACTCGCCTGATTCGGTGTCAAACTGCCTGCTCTGCACTAATTATTTTCATCATGACCTTCTAACCTTGAGGCAGTACTGAATTTCAGCGTAACATGTACAATATGAACACCTTAAAAAGAAATTGTTTAACTATGATTCCTTTCCAGTGACCTTCACGTTCAAAACTAACCTACAGCGAATCTAGATTCCCCACCACAATATACGTGACCCAAACTCAAATAATTAAATGATTCATGGAAATGCCGTAGACGGGAGCAAATCCGACAGCTTTTCCGAGCAGCAAATCAAGCAGTAATATGCCCACTAATTTTGATACATTCTGATCACAATAGCTTAAGAGGGCAATGATGATTTCTTTAAAAATAAAAGGTGGGTTTACCTTTTTACTGTTCTTAAATGACGTGCGCAAGGGCAGTCTTGAAAGACTTAATGATCTCTTGTGGGCCGTATGTTATAGTATATGTTACGTAAAAAAAAGTCAATTAGTTGCATATCAGTTAGACATATTTCATACAAATAAAAACTTATACTATAGGGATATAAATGATGAATAACGACGTAAAAAAAAATATGTTTAAGAAATCATAGTTATGTTTTAACTAAGCTGTTGAAGAAAACAAAAATGATTCTAATTAAAATTATTTTATGTGTCAGATGGAACTCTAAAAAAATTCTTACGATTGTTTAATTCACAGTGCGTTTTAGTGGTATTTCTTAAATTTACATACCCAACAAAACATTTTTACCATATCTATATTGATATTCACTGCTATTTCTTAAATACGAAACAATAATAAAAAAATAAAATAATTACTGCAGGATGTACCAGCCAGGCTATTCTTAGTTGAATTTCTTGTCTGTAATGCTACTCCTGACATTGAAATCTGGGAACTTCACTCCGTGCGTATTTTATACAACACTGCTACGCCTCTCGCCAGTTGTAATAAGACAGAACTAACGTGGAATAGTACACTGGTTGGTATACTTGTTTCCTATCTTCAGACACCAATAAATATATTTTTATACCGTGAAATTCAAAAGCGGAAAAACGACAAACTGCCCGCTTTAATGATAGTTATCTATCACGACGATACAAAGTAGACACCGCGTCCTGCCTCCTCATGTTCCGCAGGATTCATAGTTGCGCATGCGCGAAAACATCCACGGTAGGGCACCATCGATCCCCCTTGGCGATAAGACAACTATTTTCATACCTAAGTTGTTATCGTCAGTTTGACAAAAAAATTACACAGTATACTACAAAAAAAACTTCATTTTCGGTTTATCTTAATACGAACATACATTATAATTTTTAAATGGATGTTATTCATTATATAATATTAAGATTCATAAAAGAAATAAACTTTTAAAAGTAGTATTTGAACATTTTAACAGGATTGATTAATGACTGGTTTTTACTGACATTAGATGTTAAGCCTTCTATGAGATGCAAAGACAGGATCACGACAAACAAATACTAACGTTCCGGAGCCTTAAAGTAACTTCAGGATAAATAAACAAACGTAGACACAAACAGTCCGTGTATGGTTCCCTGGTGAGTCGGTGGTAAGTTTACGGACTTTACAACTCTAAGGTCTGGGTTCGATACCCAAGGTGGACAGAGCGCAGATAGCCTATTGTGTTGTTTTGCGCTAAAGCAAGAACCTTTTATCACACAATGCATTCTCGTAGACTTCACAATAATGTGACTAAATCTGACATCCCTTTTGAAGCAATAAATATGGCTTCTAAAAAATCCTCATTATTGTTTCACGACAAGAAATAAACCTTGTTTGTTTTTCTACTTAAGAATCCCTACACAGGAAAACCAATGAAAGAAACAAATCCCTGTAAAGCTATAATAATTATTAACAATCACAGAAAAGAAAAAGACGGGGTGTACACAACAGCATTTAATGATAAACATGAAAACAGACCGCAGTACACATACATGAATTTACATCTAAACTAAATCTTTTAAAAAACTCGAACCTCGTGATATCACTAAGCTTAGTATGTAGGAATGGACCGGGAAAACATGGCTGACGTGTATTATGTATTGCTCATCATAGTCTCAAATCACTCTTAAAACAATCTAAGAGACTTCCATAAACATATAACCTGGGTTTTCGAGGTTTTCAAAAGCTATTAAGACCTTCAGCTTAGCCAAAAAAAATCGCTAAAGTGGAGAACCGGTGAACAGAGTAACAGCCAAATGTTGTACTGATTATTCTGATGTCAGAATGGTTAGCTCACCAATGCTTGAAGTTTTTGTGATTATTTATACACATCAAAATGTTGCATTTTAACATGGGGAGTACAGAAGCATTATAGCGTTTCACTAACTTCAACACATGATGTCCATCAAGACAACTCATCACGCCAGGTTAAAACTGCTGCCTTTAAAGCGACTGCTATTCATTAGCAAAATATTTATTGGTATTATTTTTGTTGTTGTTGTTTTTTTTTAAAAAGAGAGGAAACAAGCAAAAAAAATTGAAAAAATAACGATGGTGTAGGGATGGCAATGGCAAAAAGTACAGAAACAAGGATGGGATGAACACACAAAACTATACAATAATCCCTACGTAAGTAGCTACTGAGTTAATATTGTTTCTGTTTGTTTTTGAATTTCGCGCAAAGCTACACGAGGGCTATCTGCGCTAGCCGTCCCTAATTTAGCAGTGTAAGACTAGAGGGAAGGCAGCTAGTCATCACCACCCACCGCCAACTCTTGGGCTACTCTTTTACCAACGAATAGTGGAACTGACCGTCACATTATAATGCCCCCACAGCTGAAAGGGCGAGCATGTTTGGTGTGACGTGGATTCGAACCCGCGATTTTCAGAATGCGAGTCGAGCGTCCTAACCACCTAGCCATGCCGGCCGTCAGCTCAGTGGATATGGATAGTTAGTGTGATATCACATTACAATACGACTTATAACTTTAACCATATCTTACTTTACTAGCCATAAACGGGACAGTTTGAAAGTGACATCTGCTAGCTTTTATTTTCTTAGCCTAAAGGTTGTTGTATCTCCTAAGCATGAAGGTCCTTGTCGTGATCATTGGTTTCAATGTCATTTTATATATTAAAAGCAAGAAAATTACCTTACTTGGATTAATTTTTAGTTTGTTTGTTTGAAGTTAAGCACAAAGCAACACGATGGGCTATCTGTACTCTGCCCACCACGGGTATCGAAACCCGGAGTCTAGCGTTGTAAGTCCGCAGACATAACTGAATGCACAGCCCGTTTCAACATCTATTGAAATTACCAGAACTGGTAGAAATGTAATATTGTCAAAGATAAGTGTCATCATGAGCCAAGATTTCGTATGTCTATCAATGGTAGACGAGTTTGTGTCTGTAGAGTTAGATGTGAATAACAAACTTAATGTGACATCATTGAATATAACAGTTTCGGTGATGGTTTAGTTACGGTGTAGGAAGGCATCAGTATGAATGAATGTATAAGTCTTATTGTACAGCCATTCCTGAAGCAACACAAAAGACAACTTCATGGCACAAAGAGGCAACACACTAAACCACTAGAAACTAAATCCTGAAATATATAATTTAATTCTCGAAAGAAGACGCTTAAGAAGAAGTTTCGTGGCATCACGAGACACATCACTGAAAATACAAATGAACAAAATACACGCATCGATAAAAAGAAAAAGAAAACTTTTGAGAAATGACAATTGGCTACAATTTTGTAACACATTAGATAATAATCAAAATCAACTAAAGAATTCTGGAAAACATTTATACATTTAACGTCTGAGAAAAACAACAACAAATTATTTCAACACATTAAATATAATAACGTTACCGCCAAAACAGACATTGACAAGGCTGACTTGCTAGCCGATTACTACACTAACTTTCTCAAATAACGACTCTCCACATTTCAATCAACAACTGAAACAAACAGGTGACAACCAGATAACGTCCCAACCCGAATTATTCACCCCCATATTTCCAACTTCCATCGAAACACAAATATTACCGGACACTCACGATTTATACAACAGAAAAACTTAAACCGAATATTAGATCACTAAAAAAACTCAGCTCCTGGCCATGACGGTATCCCTAACATAATACTCAAAAACGCAACGAACAACCTATTACTTCATTTACTTAATATTATGTTTGTTTGTAATTAAGCACAAAGCTACACAAAGGGCTATCTGTGCTCTGCCCACCACGAGTATCGAAACCCGGTTTCTAGCGTTGTAAGTCCGTAGACATACCGCTGCGCCACTGTGGGGGGGGGGGGACGTTAACATCATGAATCTATCATTTCTATCAGGCTACTACCCGGAATCATGGGAGAAAAAAACACCTTCACAGTTATTCCTAAATCTACTTCAAATAACTCTAACCCTGAAAATTTCAGACCAATCAATTTATTAAGCTGCTTAGTTAACTTACTTGAAAGCATAATATTGTTGCGTCAACGAGGTCACGACTAGTATCACGCCACTTCTTT